CCACCAGAACCCACATTAAAAAAACCATCAGGATGTGGTGGCACCTGTGTGTAATGCTAACTCTGGAGACCAGGAAGCATGCAGATATCCCTGAAGTTCACTGGCCAACCTAGGCTACTTGGTGAGTTCCAGGCAAATGAGAGATCTTGTCTCAAAAAACAAGGTGTGCTGGATAGCTTTAGTGTCAATTTGACACACCTGGGTTGAGGGAGCCTCAATTGGGGAATTGCCTTCATTGGACTGGCCATGTCCATGGGGCACCTTCTTGATTGTTGAGTGATGTGGGAGGGCCCAGCCCACTGTGGGTGGTGCCACCCCTGGGCAGGTGGGCCTGTGTTGCATAAGAAAGCAGGCTGAGCAGGGGCCAGGGGAACAGGCCAGTAAGCAGTGTTCCTCCATGACCTGTGCTCCAGCTCCTGCCTCCAGGTTCCTGCCCTGAGTTCCTACCTTGGGCTCCCTGATGAACTGCGACCTGGGAGATGTAAGATAAATAAACCCTTTCCTTCCCAAGTTGGTAGTGGTCAGTGTTTTGTCCCAGCAATGAAGAAACAAACTAGGACACAAGGTGAGGGGCTGGAGAGATGACGAAGCAGCTAAGAAGGCACACTGCTCTCACAGGGGACCCAAGTTCAGTTCCCAGCATTCCACATTGGGCAGCTTACAACCACCTGCAACTTCAGCTCCAAGGGAATTCAGTGCTTCTGGCCTCCACAGCCTCCTGCGTGCATATGCATATACCCTCACACACACACACACACACACACATGTACACATAATAAAAAATGATAAAAATCTTTTTAAAAAATGTGGATGACATCTGAGGAACGATACCTAAGGTTGTCCTCTAGGTTATGTACTAGCACACACATATGCATGTACGCCCACATGCACATGTGCACACACACATACACACACACAAGAACTATAGATCATGGTATCCTCTGAACTTGATAAGACATTATTAACAGTAACTGCCAGCAACATTGGGAAAACAGCAGGTGTTCCTTGAACCACATGCTAAAGACTGTTCTTTATATGTGTCCCCCTGTGTCATGCTCATAATAACATGAGGGATGTGAATTTCAGTTACCCCCAGCATTCAGATGGGTAAACTGGGCCAAAGGTTAGGTTTAAGTAACTTATCAAATAAAGCAGCGTATTCGTTAGGTGGCCCTGGTATATGAATCCACACCACTGTGCATTATGGCATACTTCCCCAGTAAATGTTTGCTGTAATCCAGTTATGAGTTGAAAACAATGTAAACAAATCCTGATTAAGTTAAACTGAGAAGGAATGTATAAGAGTACTTGATGAAGCTTAGGGAATGAGTGAACAGCCTAGAAAATAGGACCACAGAAGACGGGGAGCAGAGAACACAGCTCAACTGAGCGATGTGAGGAGAGGGGTGACAGTCGTTGTTGCTACTGTCACTGGCCAGCGTGGGCTCCTTCCTACTGGCTGGTGGCTGGCCGCTGGGATCCTTGGGATTGTTCTGCTGAAGCTGCAGCAATTAAAAAAAAAAAACTCTTAAGTTTCTTTCCATCAATAAGATATGAAGGACCCTGGGTCATAGTCAAACAGGCAGATTTAGTATACTTTTTTTTTTTTTTCCTAACTGGTATATTCTGGGCATGATCGTAACAGAAGGAAATGGTAACTTTCTAAATGTGTAACTTAAAAAATATAAAGAAAAGCTGGGCATGGTGGCACACACCTTTAATCCCAGCACTCAGGAAGCAGAGGCAGGCGGATCTCTGAGTTGGAGGCCAGCCTGGTCTCCCTAGAGAATCCAGGCCAGCTAGGGCTACAGGAAGACCCTGTCTCAAAAAGACCAAAAAAAAAAAAAAATTTATATATATATATGACTGGAGAGTAGGTAAGAGAGCCTATTTAGCAATTATGAGGTCCTGAGTTCAGATCCCCAGGAGCCACATAAAAACCTGATGTGGCTGTGGATTCCTTTAACCCCAGAACCTAGAAGGGTGTGAAGGGTCCCTGGGGCTTGCTGGCCAGCCAATCATTGAGCTGCAGCAGGTTCAATGAGTGACCCTGTCTCAAGGGAGTAAGACAGAGTGATGAAGTGGAAATGTGCACCCAGGGTCTTACACAGGTCTTGAGTGCAATGCACGCGCGCGCGCACACACACTCGCACACGCCTGCACATGTGTGCACAGGCAGGCATGCATGCACATAAGTAGAACAAAGATTTAAGGATATTTTACAATACTGTTCTGTGATGAACTAGGTCAGTAAAGTGATTCGAGAAATTGGCACATTAAGAAAGAAAGGACACTGATGCTGCAGTTGTTAAACCCAATTACGGCATAAGTGACCAGTTTGGATCATTCTGTTTGGATCAGGGGCTAAGGAGCGTAGCTTCCCAACGGTCAAGTCATAAAATGCTTCTAGTTTTTCTGGTTAATTTAACTACAGGAAAATAAGTCCTCTGGTCATCAAAAGGTGCTGTACTCTTTGGAAAGTGATGTTGGTTTTGTCTATAAACATGATCTTGATCAGAGCTTTAAGAATTTATTATCTAGATCAAAGTTCACTCTAACAGAAGTTGTAATGAAATATTTTTGAGCCTTGTTCCATATAGCAGAGTCTGATCCATACAGGGAGTTGGGTCAAGCTGTGAAATAGGATTTGATTTTTATTGTACATCACAAAAAGAAAACATTTTACTAAAATTTTAAAATACTAAACTCAATAGCAATGCTTAAGCTTTTTAAATGCTCACAGCAAGCCAGGTAATATGTAAAGTTTCATTTGTGTGTGTGTGTGTGTGTGTGTGTGAGTTTTGGGTAGTACACATACTATGTATATTTTTTAATATTTGTAATAGCTTTGCAAAGTATATATATATATATATATAAATTTTATTTATTATTTTTATTTTATGTGTATGCGTCTATTACCTGCATGTAGGTAAGTGCACCCGTGTCGTGCAATGCCTTGTGGAGGTCAGAAGAGGCTGTCAGATCCCCTGGAACTGGAGTTACAGACAGTTGTTAGCTGCCATGTGGGTGCTGGGATTCAAACCTGGGTCTTCTGCAAGAACAACCAGTGTTCTTAACCGCTGAGCCATCTCTCCAGCCCCTAAAGTATATACTATTAATGACACTTTAAGGTGGAGCTAAGGCTGAGAAATGTTACTCAAGGTTCTACAGGAAGTGGAGCGTCTGGGTTTTCTCCATCTTATTTTGGTTTACTTATTTTTATGTATACGAGTATTTTGCCTGTATCTACATGTAGGCACACTATGTGCATGAAATGCCACAGAGGCCACAAGAGAGCATCTGGAGCTGAAGTTATGGACCATTATTAGTTGCCATGTGGGTGCTGAGAAACGAACCCTGGTCCTCTGCAAGAACAGCCAGTGCTCTTAACTGCTGAGCTATCTCTCCAACCCTGCATCTGGGTCTTAAGCACATGTTTTCTGGCCACAAAGTCTCTTTGCAATGGCATTGTTTATTGCAGACTCATTAAGTCACAGGTTAACTGTGGATTGGTATTTTTGAATTTTTAAGCCAGGAAATTGCAGTTACTTGCTCTTTAAGAACAATGTTCTCCTTAGCTTCAGTCCTCAAGGAATGTCATTCCATCTAAGATTCACTTTCTGGGTTGAAAGGAAGTGTAAATTGTTACCACTCAGAGGCGGCCAGTGTTTAAGACATTCTTAGGCAAGTTGTCATGTGGGACATATAGGTCAGATGGCTTTCCCATAGGGCCTCGTAAGCAGGCACTGGAAGGTAGGCCATGGTGTCATCCCAGATATTCTGTAGGATCAGCTGCTGATAACAAACCTTTACGCTACCAGTCACCTTGTATAGAATGAATGTTATTCTCCTGCTTACATAAGTCTGTGTATAAACCTACTCCCTCTAAGACAAATATCCACTTCTTGGTTCTAGCATAATAAGACCTTTCATTTCCTGGCTTCAGGAAATGAAGGTGACTGCAATACAGGGAAAAAGCCAAAACCCCCGTTTACATTCATAAAGATTGTTAAATAGTCTTTCCAGAAATTTGATATTCATGTTGATTTTGTTTACTAAGATTCAATTACCTTGAATTTGAACTGTTATTCTTAACTTTATGTTGTCACATATATATGTACAGTGGAGCACATCTTTAATCCCAGCTCTCAAGATGCAGAGGCAGTCAGATCTCCGTGAGTTTGAGGTCAGCCTGGTCTACATAGTGAGTTCCAGGCCAGCCAGGGTTACATAGTGAGACCCTGTCTCAAAACAGCTCTGTGTGTGTGTGTATGTGTGTGTGTGTGTGTGTGTTTGTGTGTGTGTGTGTATTTCTCTGTCTATTAAGCTGTTTCCTGGGTGTTATATGGAGCTCTAGAAAGTCCAGGGTGGTCTGGAGTCAGGAGAGAGTGAAGACTCTCTCAGTGAACACCTCTACTGATAACTTTCTTCACATACTCCCAGCACTACCTGGCCAGCACATCCCCTCTTAGTCAGGTATATGTAGATATTCTTTGTTTAACAGTGGACATCTTGTTCTTTCTGTATTATAGATCTCACTGGAAAGGTCTGCTTTATATTTCAACAGGACAGCCTGTTACCTGTGACTGGAAAAATTAATAGGAACCCGAGTATTTTTTTTCTCTAGTTTGCAAAGTGGTATAGTACTATATGTATGGCAGATAAATTTGTTTCCCCCACCCCCTTGGGTCATAATCATATGGAAAAGGTAGAAATTATTTATAATTTGCATGTCATTATAGTGATATTTTTAAAACTTTATGACTCTGGACCTTGGGCCAGGGCTTGGGAATGGTTTCATGGTGGCAAGCCAGGCGTTCCTGGTAACAGGAGGTGAACTGCAACAGAATGCTCTAGACGATATTAAATTGGGGTGATATTTAGTAAGTGACAAATGCTTTATGTTTCCTAAATCTGAAATGGGTTCTCCTCGCTCTGAACGGCTGCCAAGCCGTGTTCTCACTTGCCTGCTTTGTAAGTGCCTGGGTTTTCTTCCCCAGCCCTGTATGATGAGATCCGCCAGTTTCGCAAGGCCTGTGGGGAGGCTCATCTCAAAACCATCTTAGCCACAGGAGAACTCGGCCCTCTCACCAATGTCTACAAAGCCAGTCTGATAGCGATGATGGCAGGTAAGCTTTTTATATTCAGGTGCTGCTTCCTACAGGATTGGTGATTTTAGGAGAAAGGGGTGAATGAAGGCATTTGGGTGTTATTGAAAATGTTAACCCTTGACATTTTTTTTTGTGGGCGGGATGAGACATTTTGTGAATACATGTAAAGTGTAAAGAGCCAGAGGTCTTTGACTTTGACTTTCATCCTCATTTTTTTTTTTTTTTGAATTTCTTCTTTCTTCGTTGCACTATCCTTATAAGGCAGCAGATGGCGCTCTTGTTAGTGAATTGTCTTTTGTGTCATTTGATCATTCATCTGTTAGGTATTTCTTTAGCTCAGACTTATTTCTCTGAATTTAAGTTATGGGTTTTTCTCAGAGACCTGTCCCTTGTGTTCTGAAGCAGGCTCTGTTTTTGTTTGTGCTAATTTAAAAAGATGTGAGAGTGGTGTTGTTTTTCATACTTTCAAACGTAGGTTGGCTTTGCATTTATCTACGTGAACAACAGATCTGTCCACCAACTTGTGTGAGCTTGAAACCCTTGAGTTCTACTTGACTGTCTTTCTCACTTTCATACACTGGGGAACATATCCCGAGAGTCTTACCTCTGTACCGTGTCTAATACCTCTGCTGCTATCACAGTTCCTCTGCGTGGAGGACTTCAGCTCAATTGTTTGATCCTACTTTTAGCCCCTGGTAGTTTGTTCTTAGTGATGTAAAATGATCTTTTAAAAATGCTACTTTAGGGGCTGGAGAGGTGGCTCAGCGGTTAAGAGCACTGACTGCTCTCGCAGAGGACCCAGGTTTAACTCCCAGCACCCACATGGCGGCTAACAACAGTCCACAACTCCAGTTCCAGGGGATCCAACACCCTCTTCTGACCTCTGTGGGCATGGCTTAACACAGGTGCACTTGCATACATGTAGCCCATTTACACTCATGCACATAAAAATAATAAAATAATTTTATAAATGCTAATTTGATTATGGTGTTGCTGTCTTAAAATCCTTTAGTCATGGCCCGTTCTCTTCCAGGCAGAGGGCAACTTCCTGAAGCCTCTGGCCGTCTCTTCTGCCTTCTCATTCTCCCTTCACCATATAGAATGACTTGCAGCTTTCTGTGGGTGTTGACATCCAACCCCTTTGTGTCGTTGTACATGCTGTGACCCCCAGCCTAGAATGCCTTTTACCAAAATAACTGTCCTCAGCATCTTTGGGTTCCGCATAGCCACACTGTGCTGGTCAACTTGACCCACCTGGGAAGAGGGACCACAGTTAGGGAATTTCCTTTATCAGATTGGCCTGTGGGCAAGTCTGTGGGGCATTTCCTTGATTTTGTGAGAGGGCCCAGCCTACTGTTGGTGTGCTATCCTTGGGCAGGTGGTCCTGGGTTGTATAAGAAAGCAGGCTGAGCACAGGTCAGGGGAGGAAGCCAGTAAACAGTGTTCCTCCATGGCCTGTGCTTCACTTCCTGCTTTGAGTTTCTGCCTCGGCCTCCTTCAAAAGTGAACTATGTTGGCGAAGTCTGAAATAAGCCCATTTCTCTTTAACTTCCTTTTGGTCAGCGCTTTATCACAGCAGTAGAAAAGTCACTAGGATGCAGCCCTTGTCATTAGTGAGCCCAGGTACACGTCCTTCACCACCACTTGCCTTGATTTCTCTCCCGTGTGTCCCATATAAGCTTGTTACAGTCTCTGTGAGATGCCTTGCCTGAGTTTTGAGGTGCTTTGCTAGGGGTCACTTGGCTTCTCTGGTCTTGAGTCCCGGCCATATATTGCGGTCACTTTCTAGATGTTTATGCTCTTGGGTCCCTTGTTGGGCCTCATAGCTGGCTCCCTGGAGCTCTACCAAATGTCAGCCTAGAGGCACTAACGGTGCTACTGTGTGCTGGTACTGCTGAGTCCTGTCAATATCTGTGGCCACTTGTCTCACTTAGAGCCAGATCTCTGAAAACTCAAGGCCAAGAAGGAGTGGAGCACTTTGCACACTGGCTCCTTGGGATGTTGACTGTCAAAGGTCCACAGTAGTGGAAGACTCACTGTAACTTTGAGGAACTGAGTACAGGCCTTTGGGGTGTTAACTGGGCATGCAGTCCCCTTTTGTGGTTTTTGCCAAGGCATAAGATTGTTAGCCCAGGCAACAAAGTAAAATACGGAGCCATTCACAGGGAACTGCAGTCAGAATATACCAACAGCCAGTTGTGGTACAGGCCTTACAGGAGCTTCAGTATGGGCATGAATGTGAGGCCAGGATGCTTCCCGGGGCCGTATTGGAGCTGCCCTTGAGGTATCTGTTACCTCAGCTGTACTGGGTCATGATGAGAGTATGCTCATTCTGAAAGGGCCACCCCTCCCATCCTACCCTCTGCACCTGCTGTTCAGAAAGAGAATATGGCATCAGGCCACCATGCAGTGAATGCTTTTGCTCCACCTCCATCCATGCTACCCACAGAAAGAAACCGTCATCAGAAACCTGGGCCTGCCTCTTGCCTTCCGAGTACAGTCCATGCTGTGTATCTGCTTCCCTTTTCAGTTGACCTGACTACTGAACACTTGCTATGAGGAATGTAACTGTGGTATACATTTATTTTGGGCTTTTTCATTAGTGCAGAAAATAACGGGCTCCTTTATGAGATTTTCATACCCACACATCAGGAGAGTCTGTCCACATTGGCGCTCTCCCTTTCTCTCTTGCCCTTTGCCCCCACTCGCCTCCTCCCTCCAGTTGGTTCCCTCTGCTCTGGTGTTTGCTGTAGCTCTCTGGAGTCTACAGACAAGAGAAATGCGAGTCGCCTGTGTTCTGCAATTGCCACCTCTTCTTCCCTCCCCGTCCTTTGAGACCCCATCCTCCTCCCACACTAATCACATTAGTAGTTATTTTATAGCCATGTCATATATACATATGTGTATATGTGTGTATTTCAAATCCAGACTCCACATAGGAGAGAAACATGGCTATCTCTGCCCCATTCCTTTCTTGTTCCTTTGTCTTGTCTTTCTAGAACTCTCCCACCCCTACATAATTGTCCTTATACTCTGATGTTATGTGAATATATATGGATCCAGGTTCCAGACAGGAATAAGAACATGTGATTGATGCTTGTCTAAGTCTCGCTTATTTCACTTAACATCTCCAGTTTCTTTCATTTTCCTGAAAATGGAAAAATATTTCTTTTTTTGTGGCTGCATAAAACTCCATTGTGCGTATACACTGAATTTTCTTTTTCTCTTCATCTGTTGGTGGGGTCTAGACTGGCTCAGTCCATTGTCTGTTGTGAATAATGCTGTAATAAACACGAACGTGCCAGTGTCTCCCTTTATGCTGGCTTTGATTCCTTTGGGTAAGTAGCCAGGAGTGCTGCAGCTGGATTACATGCTGGTTCTGTTTTTCCTTTTCTGAGGAGCTTCCATGCTGATTTCCACAGGGCCCACACTAAGTGTTCTGTTTGCGGGGGGGGGCAAGCAGTCTACCACTGAATTATGTCCTCATTTGTTAGCATACTAATTTTAAGTAATATTCCTTTATCTTCCCATCAACATCAGCCCTGGAGTTGATGAAGAAACTTGAGATTCACTGATTTTCTTTTTTTTTAAATTTATTATTTTTATCTTATGTGTATGAATGGTTTGCCTGCATGTATGTAAGTGTACCTGTGTCATGCAATGCCCACAGAGGTCAAAAGATGGTGTCGAATTCCTTGGAACTGGAGTTACAGTTGTTAGCTGCCATATGGGTACTGGTGTTCAAACCTGTGTCTTCTGAAGGAATATCTAGTGCTCTTAACCACTGAGCCAACTCTCTAGCCCTTGAAAGTCACTGATTTTTAGGTCACAAATCTCATACACAGGTATGATCATTATTCAAGCCCAGGTTTATTGATTTTCCACTGGTATGACAGCTGTTTCCTAAGACATAATACTAGATCTTAGACTGAAGGTCACACCCTCTGAGAGCTGTAATGTATGAAGCATCTAGCTGGTTTCTTGACCCCATAGTTATCCTGTCAGTATACATGAGAGAATTGAAATATTTTTTGAAGTACTTTTTTTGTGTGTGTGTGTGTGTCTTTTTTGAGACAGGGTCTCCCTGTAGCCCCAGCTGTCCTGGAACTCACTATGTAGACCAGGCTGGCCTCGAACTCACAAAATCTGCCTGCCTCTGCCTCCCAAGTGCTGATATTAAAGGCATGCACCACCATGCCCAGCTGAAGTACTTTTAAATTTTAATATTTTTATATTTTTTCAGTCCAAAAATTTTTTTTTAATGTTTTGGCAAAAGATTAACCTAAATTTGCATTCAGTGAAATTCAGGTGCTAAGTATACAGTGTGAAGGGTTTTGAGAGTTTGAGTACACCTGTAAATATCTACTCCTGCAGTCAGGAAGTAGAATTTCCCATCATCCCAGATGTACCCTGTGTGTCCTTCGTAGTTAACTCCAGACAATTTGCAGCTTCCCCGGGTACTACCCTTGATTTGGCTTCATCAATATGTATCAGCTTTCCATTTTAGGACCTCAAGTCATGACATAATACTCAGCCCTTTGTGTTTGCTCCTCCCTGAAATAGTAAATGTGAGACCTTAAATATTCTTATATGTATTACATCACCACATAAATCTATTGAGCTGCTAAAATTACTGTTGTGAAGTTGGTTACACTTTCTTCCTAGTCTGGTGTCTGTAGGATCTGTAGAACTAGCTCACCCTTCATCACTGGTGACTGGTTTTGATTCTCTCACCCTTTTTGTTCTCTCCTTTCAGAAAGAGTCTTGCAAGAATTTTGCCAATGTTATTGATTAGTCTCTTCTTTTTTTCCTTTGTCTTTTTTATTTTTATTTTTTTTGTGTGTGTGTATGTGTTTTCCCTGTATGTATGTAAGTGTACCCATGTCATGCAATGCCTGCAGAGGCCAGAAGAGGGAATCAGATCCCCTGGAACTGAAGTTAGGATGATTGTTAGCTATTATGTGGGTGCTGGGAATAGAACCCAGGTCCTCTGCGACAGCAGCCAGTGCTCTTAATCA